GCAAGAGAATGGTCCAGGAAGACAAGAGAAGAGGTGATTTCTCTTCACAGGAAGGGCAATGGCTATAAGAAGATTGCAAAGATGTTAAACATACCAAGAGACACCTTAGGAAGCATCATTCGCAAATTCAAGGCAAAGGGCACTGTTGAAACGCTACCTGGTCGTGGCAGAAAGAAGATGCTGACTTCGACTGCTGTGCGCTACCTGAAGCGTAGAGTGGAGAGAAGTCCCCGTGTGACTGCTGAGGAACTGAGAAAAGATTTGTCAGATGTGGGTACAGAAGTTTCAGCCCAGACAATAAGACGCACACTGCGTAATGAAGGCCTCCGTGCCAGAACTCCCAGGCGTACCCCCTTGCTGTCTCCAAAGAATAAGAAGAGTCGACTGCAGTATGCCAAAAGCCATGTGGACAAACCACAAAAGTTGTGGGATAGTGTTCTGTGGACTGATGAAACAAAATTAGAACTGTTTGGGCCCATGGATCAACGCTATGTTTGGAGGAGGAAGAACAAGGCCTATGATGAAAAGAACACCTTGCCTACTGTGAAGCATGGTGGAGGGTCAATCATGCTTTGGGGCTGTTTTGCTTCTGCAGGTACAGGGAAGCTTCAGCGTGTGCAAGGTACCATGAATTCTCTTCAGTACCAGGAGATATTGGATGGAAACGTGATGCAGTCCGTCACACACCTGAGGCTTGGGAGACGTTGGACCTTTCAACAGGACAATGATCCCAAGCATACCTCCAAGTCCACTAGAGCATGGTTGCAGAGGAAAGGCTGGAACATTTTGGAGTGGCCATCGCAGTCACCAGACTTAAATCCGATTGAGAACCTCTGGTGGGACTTAAAGAAAGCAGTTGCAGTGCGCAAGCCTAAGAATGTGACTGAACTGGAGGCCTTTGCCCATGAAGAATGGGCGAAGATACCCGTAGATCGCTGCAAGACACTTGTGTCAAGCTATGCTTCACGTTTAAAAGCTGTTATAACTGTAAAAGGATGCTGTACTAAGTACTAAGATTGAATGTCACTTGGGGGTTGAATAAAACTGATAATGCTGTGAGCACAGAAAAGACATTTGTGGTTATTTCATTATAACTGTTATGTTATATTTGTCTGACCTACAAGTGCCTCTTTAATGTAAATGTAAGCAAGATGACTGAATGATCAAAAGCAATGTCAAACTGGCCAAAACACTCAATTTCAGTGGGGGTTGAATAATTTTGGACACAACTGTATCTCTTTGCATAGTTTATTCAGAAAGCTGAAGCTGTAATTGTATCCTCAAACTTTACTCACCTCCAACCTGTATTGCTGTCTCATCAGGTCACACCCATAATGCTATAGCATATTGAGTTTGCAACAAGGTCATATCATTGAGTTTCTGGAATGTGAGAGTTATCACGTCAAAAAAGATAGACAGGGATCTGGGAGGGGATAAACGGACATTTTCACAAAACCCAAGAAAAAAAGGAGTTTTGTAGAATGATTAGCTTTGAGGCTCCATTCATGCCTATGCAGTTTGCTTTTTGTCTGTTTTGCAGTGCTTTTCGCAGTTTTGCGTTTTTCTACACACGTTTTTGCCGCGATTTGTGTTTTTTTCAGCTCAATTTTTTTAAAGTGGAATTTATTTTTGCTGGGCAGAATAAAAATGCAAAACATGGCAAAATCGTGGCAATATCATGGAAAAAATACACTACCATGCATTACAGGAGATTCTCCATTGAACTCTATTGTATCAAAAACGTTGCTTTTTGCTTTTAAAAAAAGTTCTTGACCCTTTCCAAAAATGCAGCAGCTCAAAAAAGCATAGATGTGATTGTGTTTCCATAGGAAACCATGTTAAATGGACTGTAGTGCGTTTCTGCAAAAAGCACAAAAAAATGCATTGGTGTGAAAGATGGTTTACAAAGCTTGCAGCAGATGGTGGGTGAGAGCAATGCTTCCTCAGTAAAGTCTGTAATGAAAAAAATGTATTGGGTAAAAAAAATTCTAAGATTTAGGGCTTGTAAACACTTGTGGTTGGGGGGTTGCAGTAAAAACAGGCGGTTAAGCCATGTTTTTCCCACCTTCCTTATACTACAAAGACAGCCATCTAAGGTTGTACACATGCCATGGCTGCAATGTTTTTGCACAATAAAAATAATACCCTCCTGTTGTGTTCAGCGGGCAGTACCACTGCAGAATACAACCCATTCAAGTGAATGGGGCTGCAGTGCAACCTCCCTGCAACCTTGTGTGTACATGGTTGCAGCTTGGTGGTGCGGCATGCACAGGATTAAAACAGGTTATAAAGAGGCAACATGTTACTCAAGGGTCACTTTTCAGAGGGGCTGCTGCACATTTAAAGCTTAGCTTTAGAGTCGTTACTGAATTCTGGCTTTTGCAAACTATAGTTTACTAACTACTTTTTGCAAGATACTTGAATTCAAATTCTAATTTTAATGACCAGATAAATATAATGGGGAGTTTAAATTTTTCATCAAGGTCTGCTGATAATTAAAATGTGCAGCGTATTCTGCTGCAGGACATGCGGTAGGGTATGCAGTGGATGGCTATATAGAAGTCACATTGAATGTGAATTCATGGATCCTTTAGCGAAGCCTTGTGAATACATGCCAGGCCTGCTTAGTGCTACAGAAGTGTCATGAACAGATGTTCAGGAAATCGGGCTTTTACTTGTTTTGAAATTGCTCACAACCTGTCGCTCTGGGATGGTGAATGTCACAATAGTGAACCTTGTTGGCCCACCAACAGAGACAAATGAGGCTAGGAAGAAATTTTATTCACCCAATATGTTTTCTCCCTACATGCCCAAACGACCTCACTGAAGAACAAACAACATGCAAAGATATTCTAAATCAAGAAATGTACAATGTTTTCTGCATACAAAACAATTTTGTTGTTTTACGATATTGGCTCTGACATAAGAGTAAAAAAGGTATATTTTCATAGACCATTTTACATGTTGCATGTTCTACCTGGATAAATACGTGATGTCAATCTGTCTTGGAAACTAATAGTCAACATTCCACAGTGAGTTTTTATGTTTCTGGAATAAAAAAAATATACAGAATGACTAAAAAAATGGAGTCAAGCCATTTGAGGAGAATTGCTTATTTTATACAGATGCTCCATGGAAGACCCCCTGGAAAAGTTCTAGGTATGTCCAAGAGTGAGACACATGGTTCTAAAGGCATGAGGTTTTTTTTTACCTTAAAGTAATATTAAACCTTCATTTTTGTATTTAAAATAACACACATGGCATACTTACCTGTTCTGTGTAATGTTTTTGCACAAAACAGCCCCAGTCTTCCTCTTCTGGGGTCCCCCACCAGCGCTCCAGGATCCTCCTCTTCAAAGAGTGCCCCCATGGAAAGCTGCTTTCCATGGGTGCACCAGTGCGGGCCTGCTCCCAAGCCACCCTGTCCGCGTCTATTGACATAGAGCGATCAGTTCATCCCTGCCCCCTAATCGTTCATCACAGCGTTTAATTAACAGCAGTGGGAGCCAATGGCTTCCGCTGCTATCGGCCTGCCTCTTGAGGAGGAAGACAGTGGCGAGAGCCGCTACTTTTATGCACATCACTGGATCGGGCTCAGGTAAGAATAGGGGAGGGGTGGGGGGGCTCAGGGGATCCTACAGCACAAAAGGTTTTTTTTATCTTAAAGCATAGAACGCATGTCAAGTCTTTAGAACCACTTAATGCAGCTCAGTTCTACATAGTTTTTTTCTACATTTTAACCACTTGGCAACCGTGCTATAGCCGAATGACTGCTGCAGCACAGTTCTTTAGTTCTGGGAGGGCGTCACATGACTTTCTCCCAGAATGCACCCTCCTGCACGCCCCCAGCGACGCACACCTGGCAATATCCATGATCGCTATGTCCTATGGACACAGCTGATCACGTGATGTGGTAAAAGGCCAATCACAGTGGCCTTTTACCATGTGATCAGCTGTGTCCAGTTGCCGGTTATCGGCTGCACTTTCTTTACGCTGCCACAGCATGAGAAAAAGACTGCCAATAACCGGCAAATGTCAGAGAACAGATCGGCACTGATCATTAGAGCACTGATGATCAGTGTCCAGCAGTGCCACTCACCAGTGCCTAGCAGGGCCACCCACCTGTGCCGAATAGCACCACCCACCAGTGCCACCCAGCAGTGCTGCCCATCAGTGGCACACAGCAGTGCTGCCCAGCAGTGGCACTAGTCAGTGCCGCCCATCAGTTCCGCCTATCAGTGTCCATCATTGCTGCATATCAGTGCAATATCACCAGTGCTGCCTATCAGTGCCCATTGGTGCTGCCTATCCGTGCCCACCAGTGCTACCTATCAGTGCAGCCTCATCAACGCACATCAGTGAAGGAGAAAAATTACCTGTTTGCAAAATTTTTAATGGAAACAAAGTAAAACGTTTTTTTTTTTTGCTCTTTTTTTGTTTATAGTGCAAAAAATAAAACACCCAGCGGCGAGTAAATACCACCAAAAGAAAGCTCTATTTGTGTGAAAACACATGATGGATACAGTATTGCATGACTGCGCATTTGTCATTTAAAGTGTGAGAGCCCTGGAAGCTGAAAATTGGCCTGGGCAGGAAGGGGGTAAAAGTGCTTGGTAGGCAAGTAGTTAAAAGAGAAACCTGTTAAAAACTGTTAATGATAGTGATGGATCCTTACATCTTGTCAATTTCTTTTGGTGTTTTTGTACATTGCCTTTATCCACCTTGTCATTTGGTATAGCGGTAATATTTCAGTCCTTAACCACCTGCCGACCGCAGATAGCCGAATGACGGCTACATTGCGGCCGGCCAGTTCTGGGAGAGCGTCAGATGACGTCCTCCCAGAATGCGCTCTCCTGCGTGCCCCCCAGGGGCACGCACACAGCGATCTCCGTGATCGCTGTGTCCTATCAGCTGATCACATGATCCGTGGTAAAAGGACAATCACAGCGGCCTTTTACCACGTGATCAGCCGTGTCCAATGACAAGCTGATCACCGGGAAATGCAATTGCCGGTTCTCGGCTGCACTTTCCTCACGCTGTCAGATCGTGAGGAAAGTACTGCCGAGAATCGGCAGTTGTCAGAGCAGGGATCGGCTCAGATCATCAGGGCACTGATGATCAGTGTCCTGATGATCGGTGCCCAGCAGTGCCACCCACCAGTTTCTGCCCACCTGTGCCCAGCAGTGTGCGCCCACCTGTGCCCAGCAGTGCACCCACCTGTGCCCAGCAGTGCAGTGCCACACCGTGCCACCCAGAGTGCCACCTACCTGTGCCCAGCAGTGCCACCCACCTGTGCACACCCACATGTGCCCACCAGTGTCCATCAGTGCAGCCCAGCAGTGCTGCCAGTCAGTACCCAGCGGTTGTGCCAGTCATTGCCCAGCAGTTGTGCCAGTCAGTGCCTAGCAGTGCTGCCCGTCAGTGCCCAGCAGTGATGCCAGTCAATGCCACCTATCAGTGCTGTCTATCAGTGCTACTTTTCAATGCCGCCTATCCGTGCCACCTCATTAGTGCTGCCTATCAGTGCCACCTATCCGTGCCACCTCATTGTGCTGCCTACAGTTCATTAGTGCTGCCTATCAGTTCCCATCAGTGCTGCCTATCAGTGCCCATCAGTGCTGCCTCATCAACGCACATCAGTGAAGGAGAAAAATTACCTGTTTGAAACATTTTATAATAGAAACAAAGAAACTTTTTTTTTTTTTTTCGAATTTTTTGCATTTGTTTGCTTATAGCGCAAAAAGTAAAGTGCCCAGCGGCAATTAAATACCACCAAAAGAAAGCTCTATTTGTGAGAAAAACAATGATAAAAATTTCATATGGGTACAATCTTGCATGACTGCGCAATTGTCATTCAAAGTGCGACAGCGCTGAAAGGGGTATAAGTGCCTGGTAGGCAAGTGGTTAATATTGTACACTAAAGTCTTTAAAAACAGAAAATATATACATTACAAGCAGTATTAACCCCAAATTAAACATTTATTATATTAAAACTTAACAATTCTTAGGTGCGATGGCTGCATTCGTTTTCTTTTTTAGGCCTTCTTACTTCCATTGTCATCTGGCGATCCAGCCAGTAAGTCGGTTTTTCAAAAGCGCAAGTTTTCCAGCAGAATTTATCAGTTTACGTGGATGAGACAAACCTTTTACCACTGGCAGAGGTGATTAAATAAATAGCTTTTATTTTTTCATGTAAAACCTTTATCCCAAAAGGAAAAAAAAACTTGCTGTAACTGATTATAAGGCCTCATGCACACCAAGCTTTTTTACAGTTGCTGTTTTTGGCTTCTGGCACTTTTTTCTACAGCCAGTAAACTCCCCAGCATGTTATCCTATGTGTCCATGCACACACAGGCTTTAATCAGTGTTTTTTGGCAGGAGTATATTCTGGTTGGGAAAAAAAAGCAGAACTAGTGGGTTTCAAGAGGAGTTTTTTAGCTGTAAAAATGTTCAAACGCTGGTAAACGTGGTAAAATGCGGCAAACCAGTGTTTTTGAGCCAATTTTTTCTTTGTGCTAAAAAACGCAAATGAGGAAAAACTTGGCTAAATGCAACAAAATGCTAATGCAGCAGCGCTAAAAACTACAGAAAAACTTGCTTAACAGCTAACTCTTCTGGCGTTTTTAAAACACCCAGTGTGCATGAGGCCTAAAGTGTGAGCTGGTGTTTGGATTCAATTTGATATTCTACTTAAATCTGTTAATACGTCAAACACTCCTCTCTACCCCAACACAGACAATACTGCGGTTTGCTGTGCCTCCTGTGCTCATTCATCCAGAGCTGTGCCTCGCTAATACAGGAGGTGTGTTACTGGCCAGTTTACTATTTGAAAACAGGGGAAAAAGCCAAAGAAAACGGATGCAACCACCACAAGTAATGATCGGTAATCTGCAATATATCACATTTTTGGTTTGGGGGTTTAATACTGTTTCATTCAACAATACCAAAAATAAGGGGTGTTATTGCTCATTTTAGGTAGGATAGTGGGTGCAGCCATGCAGATCACTCCTTTTTGTCTCTGGTCCAGCTGTCTGTCCAGGATCACTGATTTAAAGCACAGATACGGGGGGTCGGTTATACTTTTTTGGCCTTGTTGCCTATACAAATAAGGTCAGAAATGCCTCCAGGTTAGTTTATATACAGATCTCCTGTTTTGTAGCCTAATAAACTCTACATGTGTGATTGCCATATCCTCATCCCGCCTGTGTGGCAGGGCACATGTCAATAAGCTGTTTTGACTTGTTAAGGGAGACTGACAGAACTGCGTTGCGGCTGACTGTCTGAACCTTTCTATATATTGCTGCTGTGAAAAGCCATTTATGAGACACCTGTTGGGGGGCAGCAAAATTAGGTGTCTGAGCAAAGCCTGAGAGAGAATTCAGACTGATTAATGTCACAGCGGTGATTAATCAAAACTAATTACTGTATTCAAGCAGCAGAATCCTAACTTCATTTTGTTGATTCTAGGAGGCGGGAGAGAGATGTGCTCTGGGTGCTTCTTGGTAATGGTCTAGTAGACTACAGCAATTGATGACAAGGGAAAAGGACTCGTTGCATTCGGCATTCCAGTCAAAACACTGTTTAGAGCTCATTTATGTTAAAAAAAAAAAAACTGCAATGAAAAGTCATGAGTAACATAACACTGAACAAACATGTTGTGCTTTCGCTCATGTACACCAAGCGATTGAAAAGGGACCCTCTGGGCAGGCTTTGCTTAGGCAGCTACTCTTTGTGCCAATGCTGTGTTGTCTGCTGTACAGTTATCTTTTTGTTGCGCCAGATTTCCCGACACCTGTTGCAATTTGAATAAATGTAATTGAAATATAATGAAAAGGAACCTTTCCTTTGTGCTGTACTGTAGTTGTGAACAGAACGTACCCAGAGCCCACTGGAATAGTCCATTGCACAGCTGCCATTTAACTTTTCTAAAAGCATTAGTTGAAGGCTTAGTTCACCAAAAAGCTGCCTATGCAGGTAAGGGGCATCTGTAGATAAAAACAAAAACTGTGCAAGCTTTGGCTAAAGTTAAGTAATGGTCTTGCTACAGGTGTAGGCCATTTATGTGCTGTACCTCCCAAAGCCTGACTGAATAACTCCCATAGACAGCATCATTCCATCCTGCCTTGTTGCTAAGACACTCCCAGCCCTTACTGCTCACCCCCACCATAACAGGAACAAGCTTTCTAACCCACGCACATGTGTGATCCACTATCTCCTCAGTCGAAGCTCAGAGCTACTGCGACAGGGGAGAGACAGGCCATTTGAATCGGCTGAGAGCTTCTTTGCAGCATCCTCACGACAAGGCAGGAGGGGGGGGTAATGCCATCTCAGTGAGTTTTTCAGTCAGGCTTCAGGAGGTATATAAATGCTGATCAGCAGGTCCCGGACCATAAATCATTGTCAGGACCTGCTGATCAGCTTGTGCTGCAGCAAATGACAGCCAAATTTCTTTTTCAAATAAAGTTTGTTCCTACTTAATCCCCTATTAATCCTAAATTTACGCTAATCAGTCCCAATGAACTCTTTCTTCCCCATCTTCCCTAAGCTGTTGTTTTTTCCTGTTCATTTTTTTTGTTCATTAAAACTAAAGGCAATATTTTTTTTTTAAATTTTGGATAGAGTAAGGGAGAGTTAAAACCCATCAGTTTTTTTTCCAGCTGGGTCTCATTGGGGTGATTTCCCCTCACTTCCTGTCATATAGTCGAAGCAGGAAGTAAGAAGAAATACCACCAGAATGAGGGCATCTCTGGTTGTCACCAGAGTCACCAGAACTAATGTCCCCATGGTAAGATCTTCCCTCCTCTATTCCCCCCTATTCTGGTGACAACCCAAAATTTGGGATTTTCTTTCACTTTCATTCTGGGTGATATCTGTAAACAGGGTAAATAGAGAAGGTGAATCTCCGTAATGGGGGCACAGACAGCAATAAAAACTGTCAGGGGTTCTTATCCCTCTCCACCCTATCCAAAAAAAAAGGTTGCAGTTTAAAATTTTCAATCGTGTCCCTTTTTTCCTTCAAGGTTGTATGTGTTAAGTTTCTCCGGTCCCTCCTGATATGCTTTGCAATGCTTTATACCAGAACCAATATTTTAGTGCATTTGTAAACAGAACAAATTATAAAATAAATGTACTGCATACGTTTTATCTACAGTAACAATCATTTTTTTTAACTAATGTTATCAAAGTAAAAAAAAAAAAGTTCAGGTTTTTTTTGTTTGTTTTTTTAAGTTCTGTCTTTGGTTCGCATAAAAAAAAAAACAAAGAACATTTTTTGCTAGACAATATTCACCAGAAAGAAAGCATTACTTGTTCTAAAAAAAAGATATATGTATTACTTTAAAGCTGAACTCCAGCTAACACTTTTTAAGCAGTTACAGCAACAGTTTTTCTCTTCTTTTTTGAGATAAAGGTTTTGCATAAATTAATAAAAGCAGTAATCACCCCTGTCAGTGTTAAAAGCAGAACTAAATATAAAAATACTTACCTTAGTTCCATAGGTACAATGCCTTTATCATGTGGTATAACATTATTGGTAGAAATGTGCGGTCCATTTTATTCCAAATTGAAATTCAGACAAAATTTTTGTTATTCGGAGATTCAGATGTATGCAAATTTCTGACTTACAATAGTAATGAATTTGAATCCGAAATGAAACAAAATGTCCAAAATATTGAATTATCCAAATTAGAATAGAATCTGAAAACGAAATCAGATTAGAAAACAAATGTAAACATATTGTTGACTATTGCTGATTTCCTTCAAAGATTGTGTGTATTAGTGTACCTAAAAGAACTGATGCTGTTTTGAAGCCAAAGGGTATTCAAATATTAATTTGATTTCGTTTTTTCTTCTGTTCGGTTACTTTGCATTTTTTAAATTGATCAAAATAAACAGGTAAAATATATATTTTTGAAAGCATTTGTACTTTACATTATTTCTTCACACCTGCCTAAAATTTTTGCACAGTACTGCACATAGAGACATCAAAATATTAAAATCAGATTTTGCTTTTATAACTTAGAACAGTTCACGTATTCTATATAAACCTTACTATTAAAACAAAAAAGATTAACGTGTCAAAAATCAAACAGTCAATTTTTCTGGTGAATGAATCATTTTAGAATCATTTGTGTCCAGATCAACATATATGCCTTATAACCTAGGACCCTTCAATTTTTTTCATGTTACTTTCAATACTTTTATTAAAGGTTTAAGCTGGCCATAGATGGTGCTATTTGCTTTTCTGCAACCATGTTGCAGGAAAGAAAATCACTCAAATCCCTCCCATGGAGCTATTGTGTTCTCCTGCTGGGGGGCACAGGGAGTCACTCCTGCTGGGAGAACACCCAGTGATTACTGCTAGCAGCTATAGCTGCTGGCAATAATTAATGAAAAATCCGACATGCTGGTTGTATCCAAGTCGATTGGTCCCTCC